TGCTTTATGAGAATACGTGCACCACAAGCTTCCTACCATCTAAGAGAAGGTAATTCCTTTCACATTGAGCATGATGAGAAAATACACATGCAAGCTCTCTAGAAAACTACAGCTGTCTCAGCCACTTGACACTTTGGAGTACACACCATGGGCTTGGCAAGGCAGAGCATTAGAGCAGGGTCAAAAGGGCAGCTCCCTTTGGTCCCGCGCCCTGCAGCATCTCCTCAGGGCAGGTATCCAAGCACCTGCCAGGGAGAGCTGGGGCCAGGCTCCCGGGGGACACATGGCCTCCTCTTGTGCGAGGGCTCCCAAAACAGGCTGGAAGAGCAGTTTTCCTCCAGTTGCTGAGAGCTGGTACCTGCAGCTGCTGCTTTGCTGCTCCAGGTTTGCTGTAAGAACCTTAGTCCAGGCAAAGCAGGGAGACATCTTTCCCATACATTGAAGGAAATGGGCTTAACTAGGAGAAAAATGGAGGTGGATTGATTTTATATACTGTAGACCAAATTCTTTTTCTTTTGGGGGTAACTTCATAACTTTTTGTTTTAGGAGAATTTTTGGCCAAAGATATGAGGAGTTCCCTTTCCTTCCTGTATTGAGGGTCCCAAAGACCAGCCCTAGGTTCAGTGACTCACAGGACTCACAGGACTCAGGATGTAGTTATATCATATTGAAATAGTCTGCTACAGATGTTATTAGGTTTCAGCCTACCATCAGATCCAGGCAATTAGGTTCTCTGAATTCAGGATTCCAAAAAAGCCAGTGACTTTTCTTCTTTGGCAGCAGCAAAGATGAGAGACTACAGGGTCAGACAGTGGAGTTCCGAGTTCTTCTAAGCCCCCCTTATCTTGTCAGTCTTAGGATCCAAATTGACCTGCTCAAAAATATGCACAATTAGTCTAGAAAATCATCAGCCTCTAAGAGTCAGACATCTGATTTTACAGAAACTTATTATCAAACTAAAAACTGCTTTTTAAAACTCAAAAATATTATTTTCCTTTTATGTTGTCTGCCTTTTCTCATAGGCTCAACAGGCAAAAATCATGGGAACAATAATCAGTTATGAAGATTTCAATACTCAGATGTTCAAAGATTTTAAATTTTAATCCATCCAAGGAAGAAGTCCTGTTCTACTAACACCTTTTATTGGGCAGCTTTCCCAGACTGGAATAATCCCTTTAGCATTTATGAAATTACAAGCATATAATATTTTACACCATTTTTTAAAATCATATACCCAGAAGCAATAGCTACAAAATAAAAAGCCATTTTAGAAAGTCTCTCTCTCTCTCTCTCACTTTTTTTCTTTTTTGCAAGTTTACTCAAACCTTAGCAGTAAGTTCGACACTTTCAGGATTAAAATTACCACTATTGAGAGATCCCAGCTGGAATGCAACAGGCTGCTGCACCAGTGGGTAGAGTGTTTTTTTTCCCCCTCTTCTTTTTTTCTGATTTGTCTAAAGTTTGTGCCAGCCTTGGGATTGACTTAATCTTATTTCCTCCCACTTGGAGGAGTGAGCAATACAAACATACAACATTTTGGCTCACCTGAAATGTTTTTTGGGAGTGTTTGAACCCTTTCTCTTCCCATCTGAGGGGGAGAACAAAACCTAAAGACATCACCCAGACTGTACTTTTTAATTCCTTCACCTTAGCTACCACAGCCAAAAGCGACCAATGGATCCAATTCTTCTAGGGTTGGACCTATCATTTTCAAATTCCATAGGTAACCTTCACCTTCCAGAACAGACAGCATCTCAGCTGCTGTTTCATACCACAGATGACTAGGTAGCCATTGGGATGTGAAGGTTCATAATTATATCCCCTTCATACTTCCTTTCTCCAAGCACTGTTTTAGCTATATTTCAATGAGTCAGGGTTGTTTTTAATAAATCCCACTTCCGACACCAACTTTCACCCCCAGTTTAAGGATTTGCTAAAAGAATCCACATTATATAGTTATACTTATGGATAAGATTTATTACACTGAAAAGATACAGAGCAAAATCCAAAAAAGGGAAAGGCATATTGGGTAAAGTCTGAAGAAAGCCAGGCACAAGCTTCCAAAAGCTTTCTTTTGTTGTTTTTGCTTTGCCCATTGAAGTCTTATAGGATGTGCTTAATTCTTCCAGTAATGAGTTTTGGCAACATGTGTGAAATGTTGTCTACATGCTCATTAGAGACTTAGTGCCCCTGGTTTTTACTGGGTGCCGTTTATGTGGTACCCTGCTATGGACTGGATGTTGTGATTCTACAAAATTCATATGTTGAAGCCTAATCCCCAATATGATGGTTTGGAGGTAGAGCCTTTGGGTGGTAAATAGATGAGAGGGTGGGGACTTCATGAATGGGATTAGTGCCTGTGATGGTTAATTTTTACATGTCAATTTTATGGAGTGCCCAGATTAAACACTATTTCCGGATATGTCTTCTAGATGAAATTAGCATTTGAAATGATGGACTCAATAAAGTAGATTGTCCTCCCCAGTGTGGCAGGCCTCATCCAGTCAGCTGAGGGTCTAAACAGAACAAAAGACAGAAGGAGGAATTTGCTCTTTTTTTCTGCCTCACTGCATAAGCTGGGATATCACATCTCAACTTCTTCTGACCTTGGACTGGGATTTACACCATTGGCTCCCCTGGTTATTTTTCTGGGTCTCTAGCTTGCAGATGGCAGATTGTGAAGTTTATCAGTCTCTATAATTACATGAGCCAATTCCTCATAATAAATCTCCATATTTATATATGCACATTTTCCAATATTTAAATTGCTTCTGTCTGTAAGGCCTTAAAAGAAGGGTTCAGAATGCCAAGAGATAGGTGTCACTCAAAGAGGTTTTATTTTTTAATTTTTTAAAAGATTTTATTTATTTATTTGTTAGAGAGAGACAGAGAGAGAGGGAACACAAGCAGGGGGAGTGGGAGAGGGAGAAGCAGGCTTCCTGCTGAGCAGGGAGCCTGATGCGGGGCTTGATCCCAGGACCCTGGGATCATGACCTGAGCTGAAGGCAGATAATGACTGAGCCACCCAGGTGCCCTTCAAAGAACTTTTAAAATAAAGTCGTATTTCTTTTCTTCAAAATACTTTTAAGCAGTAATTAGGTATGACCTGTTCTGGTTTTTCTATCCCCTGATCATAGATTTATTTATTTTTGTTTCTGAAATTGGAAGAAAAGACATTTCTGTCTTAAGAGGAATAGAAAAGAAGAGGTTTATCTGTAAAGTTTTGTGGACATAGCTGGTCCTGCTTCCCCAAGAGAAGTTACCTTTCTTTCTTTAATAACAGAGACAATCAATAGCAGTGGTATACGGTTATAGTTGTAACTTTTCCTTTCTCATCTGGGTCATTGAGAAGCAGGCTTTCTGCATTCTGTAATAAAAATATTACAAAGTAACAAACCTGCATCTCTCACTATTTAAAACAAATAAAAATGTTGCAAGCTATTTTAGGGTTTGGTTACTTTTCCTTACTAACTTAGAAATTGTGGTGCCATGCTCTAGGAACACTGGTCACAATTATTAAGCTTGTCTTTTTGTAGCTCAAGGAAGAGTTTTCATATAGAAAATGGTCAGGAATAACTCCGTCTAAGAATGCAAGCTTTATCAAAGGTTTCTTGGAATACTGGTGGAATGGTGGAAGGGTCTGGACTTCATTATTCTACTCCTTGCTTCAGACTTGGCTGTGCTGCTTAGTAGTAATTTCACCTCAGGCAAGTGATGATCTATTTGAATCTCAATGTCCTTATCTATAAAATGTGATACAAATCTCCCAGTCACAGTGTTGTTATAATGAAAATAGCATACGTAAAATATTTGACTTCATACCTGGCACAAAGGAGGGGCTTAATAAATTTATTAGTCCTGTTATCTCAAAAAAAAAAGACCTACTAAAAAACAAGGACTATAATGTTCACAGAAGTTCTATTTATAACACCTCACCTAGAAACAGCGCAAATGATAGTCCCAAATGACCATCGGTAGTAGACTGAATTTATTTATTTATTTAAGATTTCATTTATTTTCCAACAGAGAGAGAGACAGCAAGAGAGGGATTTTTTTAAAATGTGGGATATTCATACAGTGTAGTACTATAAAGCATGAACTACCATTAGCACAAAAATATGGATAAATCTTACCAACATAATGTTGAATGACACAAAATAATACATTCTGTATAATTCCTTTGAAAGAAAGTTCAAAAACAGGCAAAATTAATCGTAGTGATAGTGGTTAGAAGTCATAATCTTTTGGAGGGAGGATGGATTGGAAGAAGGAAAAAGGGAGCCAGCTGGGGTGCTGAAAATGTTTTATGTCTTCACCTGCATGGTGGTGGTTACGTACGGGTACATGTATTTAAAAATTCATCAAACTATACACTTAAGGTTTGTACATTATACATGTATGATTTATACAGATATAAATAATACATCAATAAAAAAACCTGTTTCCTTAAACCCAGGAGCTGGATTTTTGTATCAATATCAATTTTATTTATTAGGAGTGTATCTAGCAGTAGATATAGCATGCCAATAGCTGGCCATCTTGCAGGCTGTAGTCAGTCTGTCCCTTGTAAGTGGCCCCATTTCAGAGCTAGCCTGGAGCTGACAGGCATATTATAAGGGTCATGCTCCATCATCATTGACAGCTGGAGATGCCATCACATGTCATTACATGTCATTGGCAGCAGAGCACAGGGAAAACCAGGCGGTGGACTGTGCTTCCCACCCTTAGGCTTGGAGACACAAGCCCCAGCAATGGAAGGATTAAAAAGCCTCAATTTTAAAAAGACAGGGGGAGGGGAGGGAATGTGGGCTGCACAATTTATAAATAGACACTCCCCGAGGCTGCCTGATAATGAAGTGGTTGTTTAGTAAATCTTTCTCCCTTAAGGATCCCATTATCGGAGAGCATTTGAAAATACCAGTTTCATTTGTCTTTTGGGGGAGATCCTGGGTTTCATCAGGTCAGCCCTGTTGGATGATATTTCCCTCTCTCAAATTTAGGGGCAGGTCTTCGAGAATTTGAATCACCTACACATGGAGCACAAAGATGACGACGATGATGATGTGTCTTTCGCCAAATGGATGAGCAGCTTCTGGGGTCACGGCTGGATAGAAGAGAATGGGAGAGGACTCCGGGACCACCACGGATCACAAGATGCCACTTACAGGAAAACCTCCCTGCCCTGCCCAGTGAGTTATGATCAGAGAACCAGGGGAGAGCTGGACTAAGGGAGGGGGATTTCTATTAGATAATTTTTGAAGAGGCCTTTGGTATAAAATCTTCTCTGGTTAAAAATCAGTACTTCTAAACCTTTTTATACCCACAAAAGTCCCTTTTATTATTTTATCTTGTCCTCCGGGGGACCTGATTTTCATTTATTAGGTGAAGATTTCTTCCTTTTTAGTAGCCTAAGATACCTTTAACTACTATTCAGAGCACCTGATAAACCTGAGACAATCCTCCTGAGGGTTAATATGATTCCAGCCAAAGGAAAGAAACTTGATGTTATAAATTAGTCTGTGTAGCATCAGGCATGGATCAGTGTGTGATTTCCACTACTTTTTTTGAAATACTGAAAATAGCTCCGTGATTTGATGACCTCTAAAGAATTGGCGATTCCACATCATAAATCACTACCTTTGATAAATTTGATACACGTTTTCTTCTGGTTCCCCTTTGGTTTCCCGAGGGGAGAGGGAACCCAAGTTTTTCTGCCCTCAGCACTACTTTTCCATAGGGCAGCAGAGCACCCAGTGTCTAGGGAGCAAGATGGAAGCAGGAGAAAGCTCCTGATGGCAGAACGGGTGGGCTGACCAGGTGAGGACTCAGCGGCAGGTGCAGGCAGCAGTTCTCTCCACTCAGCTGCACGGCTGGAAGACTCTGCAGTGGAGACCTGCATCCTCTGCTTCACAGTTACACAGCAAGAATATAGCCTTTCTTTTTTGCAGGTCACTTAGGATTCTAGCTATAGAGAATACCTCCCCAACTTGCTTCTGTCAACCCCAGAATCATGTACGTTTTGGGGCAACGTTATTTTATTTCAGTTTTAGCTTCAGAGTTCCCAGATGCATAATGCCTATGAGGGATATTACGGTGGGTATGGCAATCCCTTTTACTCCCCGTGACCGGCAAATTTGAGGAATGAGACCTCTTTAAGACACAAATATTTGAAAGTAGATTTCTTACCAAATGCATACTCAGGGACAAAGGGCAAGTTGCAACAGCTCTTTGAGCTTCAGGTTCCTTATGTAAAAAAGACGAGAGGCTGGACTGGATGATCTCTGGGAACTCTTCTAACTGTCCATGATTCTGTTGTAAATAAACACCTGTTTATCACTCTCTCATTTTAATCTCTTATGTTCCACTTCAAGTGAGGTATTCACAATGAGTGAACCTGAAGTACAATTAGTTTCCAGTTTCCAGATAGCTAGAACCAAGAAGAAACAAAGAGAAAAACTGTGATTTGCTATTTATCTCAACAGCCCTTTAGTACTGTTGAAAATATGAAAACAAAATATGAAATAAAAACAAATGACATAAAATACAGTTTTGTTGAATAAATTTTAGCACCTATTAGACCTTTAAAACTGAGATAATCCACTAGGGAATCCAGTTTTAGGTTGCAATGTTGTTTGCCTCAAACTATTGGGACTCAGCAGAATTTGTTACATGGGGCATTTGTACACAGTGTCTGTATATCTCTTCCTGCTCATACTAGCTTCGGGCATTTGCCTGAATTAACCTGTTTAGATTCTCTAAGTCAACAGTGAATTCCAAAATTATCAGACTATATGCAGAAAGTATGTGTTTATTTAAGGAGACAAAGCATGGAATAAAAATGAGCACCTGACCGAATAGAGTAGAGAGTGTGAGGGCAAGACACAGAGCAGGGGACCCAGGGTGACGTGGGCACATCCTGGGAAATAGTCAGGGGTCTGAATGTCCAGTTCCAGTCACAGAACGCCATATATTTATGACAAGAGCCTGTATTGGATAGTTAACTTTTCTAATTCTAAAATGTGCTCAGATTTTTCTTACTTTAGAGATCAGAGAACAAATTAGGTTTTCATTTTGTGTGTGTGTGTTTTGCTTTGAGCTCAATCAATAACTTAAAAAGAAAAGCTTACTCTTAGCCTTGTCTCTTTTTCTCTCTCCCCACTGCTCCCATCTAAGGCTCTTCCCTCTGATAACCTATTAATAACCTCTATCCATCCATATTACATGCTTAGGAAGAGAAGAGCTTTCCCTTCCTTTCCCATTTGAATGTGGTTTCTGGTTTTTTTTTTTGCATTTTTTTTAAGATTTTATTTATTTATTTGACAGAGAGAGGCACAGCAAGAGAGGGAACACAAGCAGGGGGAGTGGGAGAGGGAGAAGCAGGCTTCCCGCTGAGCAGGGAGCCCGATGCGGGGCTCGATCCCAGGACCCCGGGATCATGACCTGAGCCGAAGGCAGATGCTTAACGACCTAGCCACCCAGGCACCCCTTGAATGTGGCTTCTAACATGGTTTTTAGCCTCACGATTCCTGCAAAACCATAGCGATGGAGCCTTAATTCATTGAACATATTTACTGAACACTTACTATGTGCCAGGTATGCAGGGCATGTAGAGGGTACAAGAAGACATACATGATCTCTGTGCTTGTGGAACTTCCAGTCTAGTGGAAAATACAAATCTGGCAGAAAGAGCAAGGCAGACAAGGGGTAAAGCTTGGTTCTTCTCAGAGAACACCACTTTTTGACAAGACTCAATATAATAATCTGTGATCACTGACTTAAAGTAAATTAAAAAACCTATCGTTACTGTCCTGATGTTCTTGATGAAAAAAAGGAAAGTAATGTGAAGTCTCTTTTGTGAACTGAACAGATGTACCTTCTACCTCCCAGCACCACATGAATACAAACTTGAAGTAAAACAGTTTCCATATTCCTTATTTATTCTGCTCACTGAAAGTGGCTTTTTAATACTTTAGTGTATCCAGCTCTCTAGTCATCTTCTTCAGCTTACCATGGTTCTCTTAACATTGTTCTGCATGTTCTTCAGCTTATCATGGTTCTCTTAACATTGTTGGGCCTAGTGGGAGGGAGGATTATGCTAAAATGAAAGAACTCTTCAAGGAGGAACTGAGTCCCCTGGCCTAGGGCTTTGCTAACTCCGGATGGACTTTTCCAGGGCTTCTTCTATGTTTCAAGGTAGGCACAGTATGTGCTTGCCCACATGATATCATTTGAGGGGATATAATATGAGCCTCTACCTGTCTGTAACCAATGGATTTTTTTCTTTTTAAAAATAATCACCTTTAACCATTTTTTTATATTCTCTCTTCATATTCTCAACTTAAAGCAATAGAAGATATTTTTAATTTTTATTTTTTTCCCTGAATGACCTAGTCAGGTCATACTCATGGCTACACACTCTCATCATTATAGTATCTCACTACAGGTGGTTCTCCTGCAGTTGCTCACTACATGGGTAGGGCAGAGCAAGGTCCCCTGAGAGGATTTCTCACAAACCCGAAGAGAGGGAATATCCTAAAGTTTCATGACTAACGTAGTTTCTTGTTTTTCAGTTTAAATTTATGTTTCATTTCAGTAGGAGACAATGCCTTAATCCCCAACAAGAAACTAGTTATAGTAGTTTTTTTTTTTTTAAGATTTTATTTATCTATTTGACAGAGAGAGAGACACAGTGAGAGAGGGAACACAAACAGGGGGAGTGGGAGAGGGAGAAGCAGGCTTCCCGCCGAGCAGGGAGCCCGATGCAGGGCTCGATCCCAGGACCCTGGGACCATGACCTGAGCTGAAGGCAGACACCGAACGACCGAGCCACCCAGGCACCCCAGTGTTTTTGTTTTTTTTTTTTAAGATTTTATTTATTTATTTGAGAGAGAGAGCGAGCGAGCACAAGCGGGGGAGGGGCAGAGGGAGAAGGAGCCGAGCAGGGAGCCCAATGTGGGGCTTGATCCCAGGATCCTGGGATCATGACTGAGCTGAAGGAGGCACTTAACCAACTGAGCGGTCCAGGCGCCCCAAAACTAGTGATAGTTGCAGGCAACAGTGACAATTCTGCGGAAGGACTTTTAGCGTAATGTTCTACAGATTTGTTTTCTGTCTTCTACTAGATGTAGAGGAGTTGCTGGGAAGGCAGAAGAGTAGAGTGGTTAAGGAGGGTGAAGGGAGGGCTCCAGAGGAAGCCAGGCTTCCAGGGTCTACCACTAGCAGGATAACTGAATTCAGTTACCTCTCTCTGCCTCAGATTCCCCATATGTAAAGGGGATTGACGGTAATAGCGGATAACACATAAGGGTGTAGTGAAGATTCAGTGAGTAATTTCTCTAATGTAATTAGGACATTGCCTGGTACTTAATAAGCACCTATGCTTATTATTATTATGTGTTGGAAGTGTTGAAAGTTAGAATTTTTTTTTCCAGATGATGCGTCAGTTAATTGCTGCAAAAAGTCTTTCATTTTGCCTTTCCCTCCTTCTCTTTCATGTTTCTCTTTCTCATTTATACTACAGTGAGAAGACAGGAGGGAATTTTATACTAAAGGTTGGCATGTGGCATATATTCTGTTATGGACTGAAGGTCTCCCCCGCACCCACCAAATTCATATGCTGAAGCTCTAACCCCCAAAGTGGGTGGTTTTGGAGATGATGCCTTTGGGAGGTAATTAGATGTAGATGAGCTCATGAGGTGGGGCCCTGTCAGATGGGATAACAGAGACACCAGAGAGCTTGCTCTTCATCTCTCTCTCTCTCTCTCTTCAGCAGCACGCACTGAGGAAAGGCCAGACGAGCACACAGAGACAAGGCGGCCGTCTGCAAGGCAGCAAAAAGGCTCTCACTGGGAACCAAATCTGCCAGGCTCCCCATTAATTTCTTTTTTTTTTCTTAAAGATTTTATATATTTATTTGACAGAGAGAGACACAGCGTGAGAGGGAACACAAGCAGGGGGAGTGGGAGAGGGAGAAGCAGGCTTCCTGCTGAGCAGGGAGCCTGATGCGGGGCTCGATCCCAGGACCCTGGGATCCTGACCTGAGCCAAAGGCAGACGCTTAAGGACTGAGCCACCCAGGCGCCCCCACCCACTCCCACCCCACACTAATTTCTTCTATGCCTTGGGTCAGAGAGTGCATAGGGTTTTTTCTTCAATAGGAATTGTCTTCTGGAGTCACAGTGGAAAGAGCTGTGGTGCTGAGCACACTCTTCTGTGCGCAGGTCAGGGACCTGGGTCATTATGCCCTAAAGGTGGCACCTGCAGCATGCTTTGTTACTTTGCCATCTGGGACCCCAGCTGCTGAGCTCAGAGTGAAGGGATCCCATTCCATGGGCCAGATGCTGCTTCACAGTGTGGGAGAGAGAGCTATAAGCCTAGTCTGTGGCTGTGGGGTGACAAGGGCATACTTGGTCAAAGCAAGCCATGTATGTAGGGCACTATTTCATGTCTTTGCCAGGAAAATTACATTGGAAGGGCAAATAAAATCCCAAAAAGTAAAACTTGCGTGGTACATACACATATTTAAAAATGAGAACTTCTCCCTGTAATCAGTGAGAGAGCTCTTTTAAGCCTGTTTCCCACAAAGTCACACAACACAACAAAGGAACCAAAAGACCTATCTGATAGGAGATATTAAGTATATACTCCATTTATATTGTGATAAAACACTTGCTGTTCTTTTTAGGCCTCTCAGTGGAAGAGAATGTTTGTATAAACAACCTCATTTCATTCCCAGCCTCAAATTTTTAAATTTCATTTTTAAAGTTTTATTGTGGTCAGAACACCTAACATGAGATCTACCCTCTTGGCAGATTTTTAAGTGTGCAATCCAGTTAATGAGAAGCACATGTTGTACCGTACATCTCTAGTGCTCACTCATCTTGCATAACTGGAATTTTATACCCATTGATAAGCCACTTCCCATTTCCCCATTTTCTCAGGCCCTGGCAACCCCTATTCTATTTCTTGCTTCTATGGGATTGACGCTTTTAGATACTTCAAGTAAGTGCAGTCATTCAGTATCTGTCCTTCTGTGTCTCAGTCTCAAATTTTGAAAGTATCATTTTTTTTTCCTGATAATATAATACACCGTCACTGCAGAAAACTTGGAAAATACTAAAACACCAATCCCATAGCACAAAGAAAACCTTTCAAAACATTTGGGTATGTTTTAAGATTGCCCATCTTATGATACTACCCTACTTCAAGTCCTTCTCACCACTCCCTTCTCCCAGATGCTCACACTCAATAGGCTTCTTTTCCTTCCACTCCGGCAAGCTTTTCTGTGGCAGTGCCTCTGAACATATGGGGCTCATCCTGAGGTAGAAAACTGTTCCCTGTTCCCTAATTAACCCTGCTCATCCTTCAGATCGTATCTTTATCATCACACCTTCACAAAAGTCTTCCCTGATCCTCCTAGCCACTCCAACACCCACCCGAACATACATGATTTTACCTTGTTTTGTCCTCTCTGTGCACCTTGAACTTTTCCTTTATAGCATTTGGCCAAGGCTGTAGGCATATGCCCTTTTTGTTTAAATTCCATCTCCCGGGGCCCCTGGGTGGCTCAGTCATTAAGCGTCTGCCTTTGACTCAGATCATGATCCCAGGGTCCTGGGATTGAGCCCCACATCGGGCTCCCTGCTCAGCAGGAAGTCTGTTTCTCCCTCTCCCACTCCCCCTGCTTGTGTTCCCTCTCTCACTGTGTCTCTCTCTGTCAAATAAATAAAATCTTTAAAAATAAATAAATAAATTCCATCTCCCAACATAATCTCCAAGAGGGGGACACTTTGCCTGTTTGGTTCCCCAATTTATCCAAAGCAGCCAGTACCATGTCTTACCTATAATAAATGGAATAATATATATAAATTTACTTCCTATCTTTTAGTAGCTGTACAAATCTTTAAACATATTTTTGATTATTGTTTGAGAGAAAATTTCTAGATATGTGTGTTAGTTTGCTCAGACTGCCATAACAAAATACCACAGACTGGGTGACTTAGGGCAGAAATTTATTTTCTCACAGTTCTGGAGGTTAAAAGTCTGAGATAAAGGTGTCAACAGGTTTGGTTTCTTCCAAGGCCTCGTTCCTTGGTTTACAGGTGGCCACCTTCTTGCTGCTTCTCACATGGTCCTCTCTCCTCTGTGTATGCATATCCCTGGTGTCTCTCTGTGTATCCAAATTTCTTTTTCTTATAAGAGCACCAGTCAGACTGGAGTAGAACCCACCATAATGGTCTCATTTTAACTTAATTGTTAGAGGCCCTATCTCCAAATATAGTCATAATCTGATGTACTCACATAAGACTTCAATATATGAGTTTGGGGTAGGGGGACACAATTCAGCAAATTATAACATGCAATGGATAGATCCAAGGAGGGGAATATTTTAAGCCCTCTGACACACACTGCCAACAGCTTTCTAGGAAAGATGTACATATTTGTAGTCCTATCAGCAAGGAAGACAAGTGCCTATCTCCCTGCACTCTTGCCAGTGTTGGTACTGTTAAATAACATTTTTTTGATACCTGAAAGACAAAATTGTATATTATTTCATTTTCCATAGTTTTTGGCTACTAGTAAGCATCAACATTTTTTACCAGCTGGTATTTCTTTTTCTTTTACATTTATTCATCTTACATATAAAATTATTTTTAATTTAAGATTTTATTTTGGGGGCATTGGGTGGCTCAGTCATTAAGCGTCTGCCTTCGGCTCAGGTCATGATCCCAGGGTCCTGGGATCAAGCCCCGCATTGGGCTCCCCACTCTGCGGGAAGCCTGCTTCTCCCTCTCCCCCCCCCCCCGCTTGTGTTCCCTCTCTCACTGTGTCTCTCTCTGTCAAATAAATAAGTAAAAATCTTTAAAAAAAAGATTTTATTTTTAAATAATCTCTACACCTGACATGGGGCTCAAACTCACAACTCAGAGCTCAAGAGTCACATACTCTTCTGACTGAGGTGCCCCTCATCTAGTATATATTTAATGAACTCATGTTGTGAATAGGGCAAAGTGCTGGATACTGGGATTCTAGCAGAGAATGAAACATAGCCCTTGATACGATGGGGCATGTAATCTAATGGAGGAGAGACATGTAACAAAATCACCCAAAATATTGATTATGGTTGTGATAAGTATCATATAGGAGGAGTATGAGACCCCAGCAGGGCATCGAACTGGGACCCGAACCACCAGGGTGGTAGGGAAGGGTTTCTGTGAAAGTGCAGAATGAATGAAGTATGATTAACCAAGTCCTGGGGTAATGAGGTGGGGTGGTGCACTGTCATGAGCAGAGAGGACCCCCTTGTGTTGGGTAGGAGCAGTTGAGCTGGAGGAAGTGACTAACCAGTGAGGCCGTCCATGAAAGTGTGGGTGGTGCAAGATGAGGTACAAAATAAAAAGTGATCAGATGTGACTTGGTTGGTGTCCTGACTACTCTGGCTGCTCTGGGAACGACAAAATAAATGGGTAAGAGTGGATATAGGATGTCCACCATGGGAGGCTGCTTCTATAATCTGGGTGGCTTGGATTACGGTAGTAACAGTGATGCTGGAAAAGCGTGGATAGTTTTTGAGAGACATTTGAGAGATGGAATCTACTGACTTGGCAAGAGAACGTGAAGAGTGGCTCCTGAGTTATGGGTCTGAGTAACTGAATGAATGGTGATACCATCTTCTAAGTTAGGGGACACGTGAGGAGCAGGTTTGGGGAAGAGAGGTGATGAAGTCAGATTTGCCCAAGTCAGGGTGAGTGCCAGTGGGATACTTGGCCAGAGGGAGCTTGAGGGAGCAGAAACTCAAAGGAGATGTCTGGGCTAACAACATAAATTAGGAAATCAGATGATAGCTAGAAATTGAAGCCTGAGGCTGAGATATTTAGGGAGACAGTGTAATGTGAGCAAGGAAAGGAAGGGAAGGAAAACTAGTTTAGAACCTGGAGGAACTCCAAAAGTTATGAGCAGCTAGAAGGAGAAGTGAGCAAAAATGTCTAAAACACTGTGGCAGAAAGATCACCCTTGAGGGTGCAGTGGTAGAAGACAAGGAAAGATTGTTTCCGGGGGTGCGGGGGGGCACACGGGCTACTGGATTGAATGCCACGGAATGATTAAAGACCAAAAGTGCACAGAATTTGGCAACACTGAGATCAATATCCTGACCAAAATCAGCTTGCGTGCAAAAGTTGGATTAGAGTGAGTTGGGAAGTGAGAGAAATTGAGAGAACATTTCTTTCAAAAATTGCCTTCTCTGAGCTGTCTGTCCTTTGATTATTTTCCAATTGTGATTTTAACATTGATGTTATTGTATCATATGACCTCTGTGTTTCCCTGTATGCATGTGAAATATACTTATTTATTTTCAGGATATTTATTAAACATTACTGACATGCAGCAAATACTTTTTATGTTTTTAAATCTACCATTAATTTTGTTTATATTGCTTGTGATGTATATTGGCTTTATTTTTATGTAATTAAATTAATATTTCCTATGACTTTTCCCATTGTTCTTTTGCTTAGAAATTCTTTCTCCATATAGAAATCATATAACTATTCACTGTTGTATTATTTCCTAAACATTTATGACTTCATTAAATTTTTTTTTATAATTTTGGAAATTCTTTTTACATGTCAGTTTAAGGCTTGGAATGCTTCATTATTCTACCCTCATGGTAAAGGATGAACAAAGCTAGTCTTGGGATATTCTACTTAATGTTTTAACTAATTGATTCTACTTCATTGTAGGAGGAAGGCCCTACTGATCAAAAAGATAAAATTTCAGTTCAATATGAGATTTGTTTAGTTGGTAATTTATGGATATTCTGTCCCTGTGCTAACATTGTACCATCTCTTTATATTGCAAAAATTTTTATTCTGTATTCCCAGTTTCCTGTGCTTCCCAGAATCACATCATCTGACAGCCATCCCAGAAGGCATTCTCATGAGGACGAGGGATTTCGATGCCATACCCACATGCTGGATTACAGAAAATGTTCAGTGGATGAGTCATTCAAGGAGCCACTGGAATCAAAAGGAAGCTCCCGTTCCAAAATTCAAGCATTTTCAGAGTCCTTTGAACAGGAACTGTGCTTTAGAACCAAACGCTCTGTCTCTTTGGTATGTAACAGAGTTATTGAAAATTTAACCACTTTAGAAGAGGAAACCCAAAGGATTCGTCCTCCCCAAGTTTGAGGAGAACAAATCTAACTTCTTCATTTACAGCCTAGTGATGAGGTCTTTGAAAAATGACAGTTTTAGATAGCCCAGATATATATTTTTTTATTATTTTTATTGGAGACCCCTGGTATAGGAAAATTCCTGGAGGACCATAGGTGGAATGTTTTTGTTACCAAGGTCCTCTGGTTCTTTGAGACTCTTTTTGTCAATCTTATAAATAATTGTGACTTGTTCTTCTTTCACTCTTTGAAGAATGGAAAAACTACCCCAACTGTTCCTGTCCTTTCAATATTTAATCCAGTAGCAAACAGTGTATGATGGTGGTGTGTTTCCCTGTTCTTCTATTTTTTTTTTTTAAGATTTTATTTATTTATTTGAGAGAGAGAGAGAGTGAGCAAGAGAGAGCACAAGCCAGGGAGGGGCAAAGGGGGAGGGAGAAGCAGGCTTCCCGCTGAGCAGGGAGCCTGTTGCAGGGCTCCATCCCAGGACCCCGGGATCATGACCTGAGCCAAAGGCAGACGCTTAACTGACTGAGCCACCCAGGCGCCCTCCCCTATACTTCTAAAAAATATGCAGAAGGAATTCTCTAAACACTAGTAAGATTCCAGGAGTAGGAGCTGTCCAGGCATTCCCAGTGACCTGTGGGAGTCTAAACAAAGCACAAAGGAGAGATAGACATGAAATGGGGGAAGAATAGAAACTCCATTGATGATGCCAAACTTGATACATAAAGTCATACACTAGAGGATCAATTAATTTGGGGATATTTTTTGAACTCTGCAACATGTTCACTGAGTGGCCTTGAGCAAAATAACTTTTTTTATTTTTTGGTTTTGGTTTTATTTTGCAAAACAGGAATACTAATATGTCTCTGCCGTGTAGTAGGCAGAACAAATAAGTGACCAGGCATGTTGCCACCTGGTTCTTGAGCTACGCTCTGTGAATGTAGAGAGGAAGATGTGGCTGCTTCCTACCTCTTCGTGCGTCTGAACACAGTGCTTTCTGCTTAGCAGTGATGGCTGTTGGTGCTGTCACCATGCATCTTTGCCTCGTAGGTGGCACCTCACTTTTATCAGAGAGTGACCCTGTGTATGATTCCCCTTCAGCAGGCTGCTCTCTCCACCTGATCATAAGAGGAATAGGGCACTGGGTGTTATACGCAACTGTTGAATCGTTGAACACTACATCAAAAACTAGTGATACACGATATGTTACCATATCTAAATCTTATTAAGAGCTCCTGTTTTGTCTTGTCTTTATATTGTTTTAAAGAAATGGTTTCAGACTTAGAATGGTATTGCAAGAGTAGTACAAAAAAAAAATCCATTCTTCATTTAGATTCCCTCCAAATGTTAATGTGTTATATTTACTTATGTCTTCTCTCCCCTTCCAAGCCCCCAAACAAGGACAGGAGAACATTCTGTTACAGAAACACAGTATAATAATTAAACTCAGGAAATTAACACTAATACAATACTTTTATATCTAATTTATTGATCTCGTTCAGATTTTGCCAGTTGTCTCAAAAATATTCTCTATTGTGAAATTCCAGATCATGTGTTGCAACCAATTTTCACATCCCTCTGATTGATTTTATTCTGGAACAGTTCCTTAGTCTTTTCTTGTCTTTCATGACACTGACATCTGAAGAATACAGGCCAGCTATCTTTTAGAGTGATGCCTAGTTTAGGTTTATCTGATATTTCCTCATGATTAGATTTAGACTATGAGCTTTCAGCAGGAATATAACAGGAGTGCCAGAATTCCTGTTTTAAAATTACATGTTCAAGTCATTAATTATATTAATTCAGGAGACATATCTGCCTTAAGTTTTTTCTGGAGCAAGTTACAGTATAAGTGTATTTTGAAAAACATTTTAATCTGAACTATTCTTTGTTGATTCTGATGTCATCAGAAAAAAATTCATATAACAACACATCATATGTAACTGCTTACACGATAACATTCGCTAATATTATAAGCCCTAACAGCGTGTAAACATGAAATCAGTTCTCTTATTTAAAGAGATACTCATCACATTATCCCTAAAATATCAAATGTTAGCTAATATTTCATTTCCCAAGCTCTTCCTTTTGAGTACCAAGGCAATTAAGAAAGCATTTTCAACTTTTTGACCCAAGAACTCTTTTCACAATTCCATATAATACCTAGAAACCTGCTAGGAATTTACAAAATCATTTATTTTTTTTTCATATTACATATATAAACATATAGGATAAATACTTTTATTAAATATTTTATTTTATATCAATTTTATTTTATTTTTTTAAAGATTTTATTTATTTCACAGAGAGAGACACAGTGAGAGAGGGAACACAAGCAGGGGGAGTGGGAGAGGGAGAAGCAGGCTTCCCGCTAAGCAGTGAGCCTGATGCGGGGCTGGATCCCAGGACCCTGGGATCATGACCTGAGCCGAAGGCAGATGCTTAACAACTGAGCCACCCAGGCGCCCCTATTTTATATCAATTTTAAAGAGTATTTTATAAAGTTTATCCTTATGTAAAATTAAAAATTTAGAACATACATATAGTTTAAAATGTGTTCTTATTTAACAATTGACATACTTTTCTAAAGCTAACTACCCTAAAAAGTGTGGTTTATCAGCAAATCTAAAACTGATTTATATTTTGGCTGGGGGCCAAATGTAGAGTAATGTGTAGATTAAAATTTTATGTCCTTCAGCATCAAAAAGATCAAGAAATTGGGGCACCTGGGTGGCTCAGTCATTAGGTGTCTGCCTTCAGCTCGGGTCATGATCCCAAGATCCTGCTCGGCGGGGGGGCCTGCTTCTCCCTCTCCCACTCCCCCTGCTTGTGTTCCCTCTCTCTCTGTCTTTCTCTCTCTGTCAAATAAATAAAAGTCCTTAAAAAAAAATCAGGAAACTAATTTTGTGACCTGATCATGACCAACAACATTAAATTCTTTCATTTTGGTATTGAAAACCTCAGTTGTCTTATTTTGATAATTTTTACATTTTGTTTCTAAATAATGATATAAGAAAAAAGATTTCAGCTCATTATTTACAAGCATTTCTCAGATAGTCTTTATTCTCAATAAGGGAAAAGCCATTGCTTTATTTTGAAAATAATCATCACTGTATTTTCTCTTTTTTATACTGCTCTTATAAGTATTGGAGATATTCATGACTGCTACATATGAACTTCGATCAGGCTGATGGATCTAATACAACTGCTAGGTCTAATGAAAATAATCTGGGGGTACATTTACAGAAGTAGTACAATTTTTAAGTTTCTCTTAACCTGTATCTCAGCTTCATCATTTGTTTCACTTTGTGACTTTGGCCACTGGACCAATATAGATAGAAATGAAATAATCTAGGTATAAAAACAATTTAGCATTGAAGAGTAGCTGACATCACCGCAGTAATCAGACACCCTCATAACTCAGCCTGCAGGGTTGAGTCATGATCTTGCTCATCTCACTGGTACTCATCACAGTGCATATTCACTTGATAGACCTTTGGGTGTTCCCCAGTGTTACCAGTTCGCATGAAGGAGGGGAAGAGTCATGACGTTATTTATTTTTAAAAATAGAAGTATAGGTAGATGCCATCGCCACATTTATCAATGCCATTCTTTAGTCAGTAATTCCTTCGAAAGACGCTCCTTGACCATGGAAATGAAGAAGCCTTCCCCCTTCCCACCCCATACTTCCCTATCAGATCACCCTGTTTGCTCATTATCATTGCACTTATCACTATCTGTGATCTTCTTGTTTCTTTTTAGGCTTATTGATTATCATGCTCCACCTAGGGGTAATATCAAAGAAGTTGGGTTTCTTAAGTTAGTGCTGTATCTCCTGATCTTAGAACAGTAGTACGTGTTCAATAAATCAGTGAATGTGGACCCCTGGGCAACCAGCTGGGGAATGTTAATGTGCCTGGATGTCATTTCCTTAACACTTCATTCTTTACATAGTCTTCACATTAGAACCTAACACAAACCCTACTGTTAATGTAATTTAAAGAAGTAGATACTGGGAGCTTAGAATCATTCTGTATATGATTCACTTGCCCCATTCCTTTTCAGAAAGCACCAGGAGACTATAATTATATCGTGCTGTGAAACACATCCCTCTATAGGTCAGAGTTGTGTACAGGTTGAGTTTCCTCCATAGATCGTCCACTGACACCCAAGGCCCCATTCCTTTTATTTATGACTGAAACCTTTAGCAACACCCTTGGGCTTCTGCTAATTTATTATGAGAAACTAAGATGTGGAAGTCTACTAAATGACCGGGGCTTTGTTCATTTCCAAGAGTTAGGAGAAATGTGGCTTGTTGTCAGCTGTCAGCACATTTCTACCCTTTTTCTGAACTTTCTTTTTCAGGGACCTGAGAGCAGAAAGGAGAGAAGCAAAAGGGAATGCCTGAGGATGGAGATGAAATCTCAAAAGAAAGTGGAGGAAAGAAGGAACCCTAGGAAGGAAGAACATGGAGAAACATACATGCCCCCCTTGCTTGAAAAAGATCCCAAATAGTATTTTGTTTCCACATCATGTCTGCAGATGCCACTGTGGTTTTCGGGCCCCAGTACGCCAGGCCAGGTAGTGGTAGCGGTGAAGGAGTGCCCACAGAGGCTGAGTGACTGCAGGGGGCGGTCGGTGCCTCTGCTCCCCCACATGACTCACACCCAACTCTGACTGCTTCTGATGTCTTAGTTGAGAGTGTGATCTGCTCTGTTGTCCTTTTATGGGACTAAGGAGAATGACAGGTATTTTAATAGAATAAGTTATTCTTAAAAATGTAAAGAAAGATATTTAAAGAGCTACCCACCCATCTTCGCTAACTCTTCTTCCGCATCAACCTTGCAAATAATTTTAAATAAAAGTCATTGATGTGACTCTAAGTTTACTTCTTTTTCAGAAGTAATAATGTAAGTATGTCTAATGGCCGTCATTTAATGAGAACTGGTAATTAACACGCCAGGTACTATGCCGAGTTCTTCAATGCCTTACCTAAAATAATCCTCACTACTCTGAGGTGGGACCTATTCTTTTCACTTGCTAGCTGAGGAAATGGAAATTTAGGCACGTCCAGGAACTTATCGGTGAGGTGGCAGAGTTAGGGCCAGAGCCCAGTTCATTGTGACTCATTGTCCTAACCTGAGGCAGGACCTTCATTTCCCTTTAGGTCTGGCTCCTAACTTGGTGTTTGTGTGTGTGATGTACATGGAATGAGTGTATGTAAATGAGAAAAGCAGGAGATGGGAGGAGCTTATGCTAATGACTTTTACACGGGTGGAGACTGATTTTTCTGAGGTCAGCTTTATGCTCTGGGTTTTAACTTTATGAGACCATATTCTTATTTATTTATTTTTATTTTATATTGAGACATAACTGACATACAATGTCATATTAGTCTCAGGTGTACAACATAATGATTTGGTATTTTTAATATATTGTGATATTATCACCACAATAATTCTAGTTAACATCCATTGTCACACATAGTTACAAAATTTTTTTCTTGTGATAAGAACTTTTAAAATCTACTCTCTTAGCAACCTGCAGATATACACTATTACTAGCTATAGTCACCATGCTTACCTTATATCCCATGACTTATTTAAAAAATATGGAACACTTCACAAATTCACGTGTCATCCTTATGCAGAGGCCATGCTAACCTCTGTATCCTTCCAATTTTAGTGTATGTGTTGCTGAAGTGAGTACTTCTCTTGTTTCTTAATTTTCAGCTTTATTGAGATATAATGGACAAATAAAATTATGTGTTTTAAATTGTACAAACATGATGATTTGACATATGTATGTTTTGTAAGATGATTACCACAATTGGGTTAATTAACACATTGAGGCCATATGCTATCACTGTTTTTCTTCCCAAAAGAAAAGATACTACAATTCCTCCTATTTACTTTTTTATATTGAAGTATAATTGACATTTAACATTCTATTAGTTTCAGGTGTACAACATAATGATTTGATTTTTGTATACTTTGTGAAATGATCACCACAGTAAGTCTCATTAACATCCATCATCGCACATAGTTATAAACCTTTTTTTCTTATGATGAGAACATTTTTTTTCCTTTAAAAAACCCAGCTTTAGGGGCGCCTGGGTGGCTCAGTCGTTAAGCATCTGCCTCCAACTCAGGTCATGATCTCGGGATCCTGGGATCAAGCCACACGTCAGGTCTCCCTGCTCAGTGGGGAGCCTGCTTCTCCCTTTCCCTCTGCCTCTCCCCTGGCTTGTGCTCTCTTTCTCTCTCACTCACTCTCTCTCTCAAATAAATAAATAAAATAAAATAATAAAATAAAATAAAATAAAATAAAATAAAATAAAATAAAATAAAATAAAATAAAATAAAATAAAAAAACCCAACCCCATACCAGCTTTATTGTGGTATCATTGATATCCCAAAACTGCACAGATTTAATGTACACAATTTGATGAGTCTGGACATATGTATACACCCATGGAACCGTCACCACCAGCTATCAGTTCTTTACTTCTCCGAATGCTCTGAAGCATGGCATTTCTTAACTACTTCCACAATTCATACAAGTCCTCCCTTCTTAGGATGGATCCTTTTCAAATTTTTTTTTAAGTAGGCTCTAACGCCCAGCATGGAGCCCAATGTGGGGCTTGAACTCACGACCCTGAGCTCAAGACCTGAGCTCAAGACCTGAGCTCAAGACCTGAGCTGAGATCAAGAGTCGGACACTTAACTGACTGAGACACCCATGCACCTCAGTATGGATCCTTTTTTGAAATTAGCTTAAGGCAAAATTAGTACGTTTGAGAAAGTTTTTCTTGCAGACACATAGGATGAGAACTTTTAAGATCTACTCTTTTAGCAACTTTCAAATATGGAACACAATATGTGACGATAGTCGCCATGCTGTACATGACATTCCTATGAATTTTTATTTTATGACTGGGAGTTTGTACCTCTTGATCCCCTTCACTCATTTCACTCACTCCTTTACCCCCCTCCTCTCAGGCAACAACCAGTCTGTTCCCTGTATCTACGAGTTTTGTTTTATTTGTTCATTTGTTTTGTTTTTTAGAGTTTACATGTAAGTGAAATCATACAGTATTTGTCTTTCTGTTTCACTTATTATTCGCTTAGCATAACTCCCTCAAGATCCATTCATCTTGTTGCAAATGGCAAGATTTCATAGTTTTGTGACTAACATTCCATTGTATATATACACCACATCTTTACACATTTATCCATTGGTGAACACTTAGTTTGTTCTGTATCTTGGCTATTGTAAATAATGCTGCAATGAGCACAGGGGTAGGTACTTTTTTTTTGAATTAGTGTTTCTGTTTTCTTCATAGAGATGCCCAGCTGGATCATATGATAGTTCTGTTTTTAATTTTTTGAGGAACCTCTATACTGTTTTCCTTAGCGGCTGCACCAATTTACATTCCCACCAACAGTGCACAATTGTTCTCTTTTCTCCACATCCTCACCAACACTTGTCATTTTTTGTCTTTTTGATAATAGCCATTCTGACAGGTATGAGGTGGTATCTCATTGTGGTCTGCTTTCTATTTCCCTGATGATTAGTGACGTTGAATATATTTTCATGTGTCTGTTGGCTATCTGCATGTCTTCTTTGGAAAAATGTCTATTCAGGTCCCCTGCCCATTTTCTCTATTTATTCTTTGTTTCTGTCTTGGCTCTTCAAATACCCAAGGGCAGCCAGAGTCTCCATTTTGTAAAGAATATCTCCGCAAACTAGTCATAATACAATTGGTTGCTTATGTAAAACACAAAGTAACTTTGTTACAGGCAGTAAAAAGAAGGAAAAGGAAAAAGAAAAAAAAAAGGAAGAGGGAAACAGAGAAAAGTAAAGTAGCAATTATTTTTGGCTTGTATTTTTTCAATTTTCTTTTTAAAAATTTTATCTTAATTCCAGTGTAGTTAATATACAGTGTTAAATTAGTTTCAGGTGTACCATATAGTGATTCAACAATTCTGTACATTACTCAGTGCTCATCAAGATAAGTGTACGCTTTAATCCCCTTCACCTATTTCACCCATCCCCCTCCATCCCCCTCCCCTCTGTTCTCTTCAGTTAAGAGTCTATTTTTTAGTTTCTCTCTTTTTTCTCTTTGTTTTGTTTCTTAAATTCCACATATGAGTGAAATCATATGGTATTTGTCTTTCTCTGACTGGCTTATTTTGCTTAGCATTATACTCTCTAGCTCCAACCATGTTGTTGCAAATGGCAAGATTTCATTCTTTTCTATGGCTGTATAGAAATTGTATGTGTAGGGGCGCCTGGGTGGCTCAGTCGTTAAGCGTCTGCCTTCGGCTCAGGTCATGATCCCAGGGTCCTGGGATCGAGCCCCACATCGGGCTCCCTGCTCGGCGGGGAGCCTGCCTTTCCCTCTCCCACTCCCCCTGCTTCTGTTCCCTCTCTCGCTGTGTCTCTCTCTGTCAAATAAATAAATAAAATCTTTAAAAAAAAAAAAAGAAATTGTATGTGTATATATATATATATATATATATATATATATACATATATATACCACATCTTCTTTATCCATTCATCTATCAGTGAACTGTTGAGCTGTTTCCATACTTTGGCTATTGTAAGTGATCCTGAAATAAACATAGGGGTGCATATACCCTTTTGAATTAGCGTTTTCATATTCTTTGGTAAATACCCAGTAGTGCAATTACTGGATCATATGGTAGTTCTGTTTTTAATTTTTTTCCTTTTTTTTATTATGTTATGTTAATCACCATACATTACATCATTGGTTTTTGATGTAGTGCTCCATGATTCATTGTTTGCATATAACACCCAGTGCTCCATGCAGAACGTGCCCTCTTTAATACCCATCACCAGGCTAACCCATCCCCCCACCCTCTCCCTTCTAGAACCCTCAGTTTGTTTCTCAGAGTCCACAGTCTTTCATGGTTCATCTCCCCCTCTGATTTCCCACCTTCATTCTTCCCTTCCTGCTATCTTCTTCTTCTTCTTTTTTTTTTTTAACATATAATGTATTATTTGTTTCAGAGATACAGGTCTGTGATTCAACAGTCTTACACAATTCACAGCACTCACCATAACACATACCCTCCCCATTGTCTATCACCCAGCCACCCCATCCCTCCCATCCCCCACCACTCATACTCTTTTCCACGGTGGCTGCACCAGTTTGCATGCCCACCAACAATGCATGAGGGTTCCTTTTTCTCCGCATACTCACCAACATTTGCTTCTTGTGTTTTTGATTTCAGCCATGCTGACAGGTGTGAGCATCTCATTGTGGTTTTATTTTTTATTTAAAGATTTTATTTAAATTCCAGTTAACATATGGTATAATATTAGTTTCAGAAGTAGAACTTAGTGATCCGTCACTTACATATGACACCCCGTGCTCATCACAAGTGCCCTTCTTAATACCCATCACCTATTTAACCCATTCCCCTGCCCACCTTCCCACCAGCAACCCTCAGTTTGTTCTCTATAGTTAAGAATCTGTTTTATGATTTGCCTCTCTCTTTTTTTATCCCTCCTATGTTCATCTGTTTTGTTTCTTAAATTCCACATATGAGTGAAATAATATGGTATTTGTCTTTGTCTGACTGACTTATTTTGTTTAGCATAACACACTGGCTCCATCTACATCATTGCAAAAGGCAGATTTCATTTTTTTGATGCCCGAGTAATATTCATATATGTAATTTGCCACATCTTCTGTATCCATTCATCAGTCAATGGGCATGGGCTCTTCCCATAATTGGCTA